CACATAATAGACGACGGTTTTTATAAAAAGCGTCATCTTTACGTACAATAGACGACGTTTTTTTTATAAAAATTGTCATCTTTACGTACAATAGACGACGGTTTTTTTTATAAAAAGCGTCATCTTTACGTATAATAGACGACGGTTTTATAAAAAGCGTCATCTTTACATACAATAGACGACGGTTTTTATAAAAAGCGTCCTCTTTACATACAATAGACGACGGTTTTTATAAAAAAGCGTCATCTTTACGTACAATAATGCTTTTTGATTTCCTATGATGCTATACAACGATTTTAACTAGAAAACCAACCATAATGCTTTATCAAAAATAGTTTCTTTCATAAAACTTGAAGATTCAATAGTTATTACATAGTTAACCAATCTTTATTCTACAACAAACATAATTCCTAACAAGACCTACGTACTCCTAATCCAAGCATTCCTCATCCAAACATACAAATGATGCACAACTGAAGTCTCCTCCATCATCCCTGTAAATAAATCAAAATGACAAGAGAGAAAAAAAAAAAAAAAAGAATTATAAACATAAAAAATTAGGTGGAAGAGAAATTTTACCATTGGTCCATATTTCCATAGAAAACTTGTAAAATGAGCATAAAAAAGACCATCGAGAACCTGCAAATTTTCAACAACAAAAAAACATACGTCTCACATAGAAAACCTGCAAAAGAAAGAGTTATAAATCTGCAAGCTTCCTCCTCATCTCCTGATAACCAAATCAGAAAATCTAAAAAGAAACCAGAAATAAAAAAAAATATGTAAACAAATCAGACAAATCAAGAAAGACAAAATCTGAAATTAGGGATACAAAGAACATACCAAAAACGCAAAGAGACTAATCCAGAATTCACTAGCAAGATATAGAAGGGTATTAAGAGATTAGGTGACTTTCAAATCAACCTTTCAACCAGCTTTGATTCTCAAATACAGAACATCCCTCTACATCTTATGGATTTGCTAAGACCTCAATCTCTCAACTCCTTCATTGATATCGATCTTTTGATGATTTTGTAGAGAGTTTTATGAGGGTGTTTTAGAGAGTGCATGAGGGTTTCAAGGAGGGAGAGATAAGGTTTTCAGAGACGGGGGAAAATCTGAAAATTTGACAAGCGCGAATTCACTTAAGTAGACTTTTTTTAGCGTGTTTTAAAAGACGACGCTTGTTAATGAGAGATAAGATTTTCAAAGACGGGTGAAAATTTGAAAATTTATCGAGCGCGAATTCACTTAAGCGGCCATTTTTTAGCGCGTTTTAAAAGACGACGCTTTTTTTAAAAAAAAATTTGTCATCTTTACATATAATATACGACGGTTTTTTTATAAAAAACGTCATCTTTACATATAATAGACGACGGTTTTTATAAAAAGCGTCATCTTTACATACAATAGACGACGGTTTTTTATAAAAAGCGTCATCTTTACGTACAATAGACGACGGTTTTTATAAAAAGCGTCATCTTTACGTACAATAGACGACGGTTTTTATAAAAAACGTCATCTTTACATACAATAGACGACGTTTTTTTCCACTACACTTCTTGACCCTATATGAATACAATGACTGAATTTGATCTTCAATTTAAAATATTTACACTAGTGGATACCACAAAATCTTATGTTATATTTAACGAAAGTATAAATAAACTCTTAATTGTTAGTGAATATTTTTTTTTTATGGCATACGCATTTTAAGAAACTAGTTTCAACGATCCAACCGTCAAACTTGTTTGTTTATACTTCGAGATCATCTACACCAAAAATCGAAAAAAATAAACATTCAGAGATAAAGTAACGGGACAAAAAATTTCGACGGTTATAAATGAAAAATCATGATTTAACGGTTATTTTAACTCCGATTTTGATGATTTTTTACCGCTACACTCCTTGACCCAATATGAATACAATGATTGAATTTGATCTTCAATTTAAAATATTTACACTAGTGGATACCACAAAATCTTATGTCATATTTAACGAAAGTATAAATAAACTCTTAATTGTTAGTGAATATATTGTTTTGATGGCATACGCATTCTAAGAAACTAGTTTCAATGATCCAACCGTCAAACATGTTTGTTTATGCTTCGAGATCATATACGCCAAAAATCGGAAAAAATAAACATTCAGAGATCAAGTAACGAGACAAAAAATTTCAACGGTTATAAATGAAAAATCATGATTTAACGGTTATTTTAACTCCAATTTTGATGATTTTTTACCACTACAGTCCTTGACCCAATATGAATACAATGATTGAATTTGATCTTCAATTTAAAATATTTACACTAGTGGATACCACAAAAATCTTATGTCATATTTAATGAAAGTATAAATAAACTCTTCATTGTTAGTGAATATATTGTTTTGATGGCATACGCATTCTAAGAAACTAGTTTCAATGATCCAACCGTCAAACATGTTTGTTTATACTTCGAGATCATATACGCCAAAAATCAGAAAAAATAAACATTCAGAGATAAAGTAACGGGACAAAAAATTTCGACGGTTATAAATGAAAAATCATGATTTAACGGTTATTTTAACTCCGATTTTGATGATTTTTTACCGCTACACTCCTTGACCCTATATGAATACAATGACTGAATTTGATCTTCAATTTAAAATATTTACACTAGTGGATACCACAAAATCTTATGTTATATTTAACGAAAGTATAAATAAACTCTTAATTGTTAGTGAATATATTGTTTTGATGGCATACGCATTCTAAGAAACTAGTTTCAACGATCCAACCGTCAAACTTGTTTGTTTATACTTCGAGATCATCTACACCAAAAATCGAAAAAAAATAAACATTCAAAGATAAAGTAACGGGACAAAAAATTTCGACGGTTATAAATGAAAAATCATGATTTAACGGTTATTATAACAAACCATCATCTTTACATATAATAGACGACCATTTTTTATAAAAAAGCGTCATCTTTATATATAATAGACGACCCTTTTTTTAAAAAAAAATTGTCATCTTTATATATAATAGACGACGGTTTTTATAAAAAGCGTCATCTTTACATATAATAGACGACGGTTTTTTTATAAAAAGCGTCGTCTTTACATATAATAGACGACGGTTTTTTCGGTTTTTATAAAAAGCGTCATCTTTACATACAATAGACGACGGTTTTTTCGGTTTTTTATAAAAAGCGTCATCTTTACATACAATAAACGACGGTTTTTTCGGTTTTTTATAAAAAGCTTCATCTTTACATATAATAGACGACGGTTTTATAAAATCGTCATCTTTACATATAATAGACGACGGTTTTAAAAAAAATCGTCATCTTTACACATAATAGACGACGGTTTTTAAAAAAATCGTCATCTTTACATATAATAGACGACGGTTTGTAATAAAAATCGTCGTCTTTACATATAATAGACGACGGTTTTATAAAATCGTCGTCTTTACATATAATAGACGACGGTTTTATAAAATCGTCATCTTTACATATAATAGACGACGGTTTTAAAAAAAAATCGTCATCTTTACACATAATAGACGACGGTTTTTAAAAAAATCGTCATCTTTACATATAATAGACGACGGTTTGTAATAAAAATCGTCGTCTTTACATATAATAGACGACGGTTTTATAAAATCGTCGTCTTTACATATAATAGACGACGGTTTTATAAAATCGTCATCTTTACATATAATAGACGACGGATTTAAAAAAAATCGTCATCTTTACATATAATAGACGACGGTTTAAATATAAGGTATGACGTATAAAGGGAATAAATACGACGTTAAATTTTATAATACGTCGTTAAATGAAAAACAAACGTGGTGAGATTTAAAGATACCGTCGTAGAACTATACAAGAAAGACGTCGATATATTTTTATTTTCCGTCGTTGTACATTAATTTAATACGGCGATATTTTGTATTTTACCGCCGTGAATTTATTTGTAATTATATGGCGCCTTATACGAAAACTTGGTCGAGTTATTTTCTGCGTAAAAACGGCGGCTTTTTTTGAAATCGTCGTCTTTACTTTCTACGTCGGTCGATTCATAACTTCTGCCGTTCTTTATTTGCTTTGATTTTACACTGCGGAAATCCTGTTTCAAATAGACGTCGGTTTTTTAATTAGGTACGTCGTTGTTTATAAACAACCATTTGAATCTCCATTTTTTAGGTGTCTAAGGTGTTATTACACGACGGTTTTATAGAACCGTCGTCTTTTAAAAAACAACGACGGTTTTCACTTAGACCGTCGTTTTTTTCTGGTCGTCTTTGTCACTTTTTGTAGTAGTGTTTAAAATCCTTAAAGCCATATTTAGGTCCAAATGCAAATGTCAATTGTAGAAAATTAGTGGGTTCATCAAAATTGCTCATTATTTTTCTTGGACATTGACAATAAGAAAAATGGTACGAAACCATCCACTTTTTTCCCATGAGTCATCTACCCTTGCAAATTCCAATAAGATTAAATTCAAATCTCTCAAACATAAACTCTCATTATTTTAATATACCGAAATACAAATTATTGGTTAATTTAAGAAATATCTTAGAAACTATAACGGTCTAACTTAGAATTTATATTATTGTTTTAAAGAATTCTAGTCATTGCATGTTTTGTTGTCCAATGTATCCCAATCAGTTTGTTACCAACTAAAACCTAGAAATTCTTCTTCCCACAAAAAAAAACCTCAAAATTCCACGATTTTCAAACCCTTATATCAGGTTTAGTGTGTTGCCGAAATTAAATTTATGCCTTTTAATTGTTTTTCCTTTGTTTTGAGCTCAGTGCTCTCTTTTACACGAGCTCTGTTATACGCGAGCTATGAACACGTCTCTAAGCTCGCTTTTGCTGGATTCACGATGATGAGCACCAATTCATGAAGGTTGGGCACCTCTTGGCTACAATGACAAAGAAGCTCACAGTTCGTTAATGTGTAAGCTTCAGTAGAAGCTTACAGTGTTGGGCAAGAAGGACAAACCCAAGATGACAAGGGACAAGAAGGACAAAGAGAAACCCACCACAACAGCTGGTGAAGAAGAATTATCAGGGGGCGGGCAAGACCCGGCAGTAGCCTTCATAGTGGGTCCCCCAACCGTGGACGGTGATGGTGACAGTGACGGGACTAGAGCACAAGCAGCAGGGTCGTTTGATGATGGTGATGGATATGGTATGAGGGGTAGTAGGCGGCGGTGGTGGTGGTGGTGGCGCAGAAGTTGGTCCACAGGGTGAGGGCTAGCTTCTAGCCTGACTAGCAGTGGGTGCCAAAAGGTAATAGACGACGGGAATTCATCGTTATGTAGCCAAATTTCAAACCGTCGTGAAATGGACCGATATCTTTTGATAGAAACAAACCACGATGGTAAATCCCCGTCGTTATTCAAACAAACAACGTCACAAAAAATAAACACCGACATCTATATCCTGACAATGAGGCCATAAAAATTCGACAAGGATAAGAATAGACGACTAGTTTGACATGAAAATCGTCTTGCAATATGAATTATCACGTCGAAACCTACACAAAAGATGCCATTATTAGAATCCTCTACGTCATCATTGTGATATAACCGTCATTAATAATAATTTTCCACTTTGTTTGTTCAATGTCGGTCGGATTAAAAAGACAACCTATTTTCAAATTTATACATCACATTTAACACACGGACCCTCGTCTAATTTCTCCTAAACAGCTTAGTTTGTCAGTCCATTGCCATGTCAAATATTTTTAAGGGAGATTCACTAATATACCCAATATAGGAGCCTAAATTATAAAAATACCCCATATTAAATGAACTTTATAAACACACCCAAAACTCATTTATAACATAACAAAGAGGCATTAACTTCTTATAAATTACAAAACTACCATAAATTTCTTAAAACAAGCCCAACCTCAAAATCTCATAAAAATACCCAAAACACTCAATAGGGCATTAAAGTAATTTAATAATCAATATTAAATTCAATAAGGCCAGCTGTCATTTTTGGGGTTTTTTTTGGGTTTGTTTATAGAAATTTAATGATGGAGGGTTTATCTATAATATTAGTGCTAAGAATGGGTATATCACTAAATATCTCTATTTTTAATGACACAGTCCTACGCGGTTAATTAAATATAACGTCGTCTTGTTTAGAAGAACGACGTCGAAATCAATTTTCACGTTGATTTCTTTAACAAGGAAGACGTCATAAATATATACTACAACCTCGTTGTTTCAATGACCGTCATCATTTATCATACGTCCACTTCATTTATGAGATAAAAAGCAACGTGGTAAATTTTTAATACGACAATTGTTCTTATAATACGGACAAGTTCATAATCTAGGACGTCTTCTTTTGTAATCTTTATGACGTTCAGGTAAGATATCTAGACGCGAATGCCTTTTATGACTTTAAAAGACGACATGGATTATATGTTGCTGGTCATAGATGTTTTTTAGACGTCGGTATTCTGAGAATGTAGTCGTGTTATTTGGCTTTAAATGTTGACTCTTTATGCATCTCCGGCGTGATATCGTTAATTACTGTTGCACAATACCGTCGTGGTTCTTTATTATTTACGTTGCTTTGAATTAAATGAGAGAGTCTTGTGAATTAAGCTTTAGACGTCGGTAAGTACATTGCGGTCGTTGAATACTCCACAATGTCGTTTTCTAATGCCAATTTAATTAAAACTGACTTATGTTTTTCACATTTTTATCTGGACCGTCGTTTTTTGAATCTTGAACCCAATATTTTTTAGTTCTGGTAGTTTTGTGGCCAAAACCTGCATAATGAAAGTGAAAAAACTGAATTACAATTTATTACAAAATTAATGTCATACATGGCCGTTTAGGGCATAAGTAATTTCATAAATTACAAGCATCATTCAATCCATATATCTTCACACCCATCTTGAATATTTTGACTCCCAAACTCCCCTGCAAGTTCATCAAATGTGTCAACATTTGGCATCCCTCTAGTAAATGGCTCACACTCAATTCTCACATCACCTAAAACATCATCACCAATAACATCATTATATTCTCTATTAGGCATTGTTAATACTACTAACCAACCACGATGCATTGGGTCGTCAACAAAAAATACTTATTTGACTTGAGAAGCCATAACAAATTGGTCATCCCTATGACTAATTTTACTCAGATCTACAAGAGTAAATCGAAGTTCGTCGACTACAAGGCCAGAAGTGTTATCTATCCAATGACACATAAAGATTGTGATTGTAATCTTTTGGTAGTCAAGGTCCCAAATATCTTGAATGACACCATAAAAACCCATATTTGAGACAATTGAGTTTTTATCCTTGGCACTAGCAACTTGCATAGTATGTGTAAGTAAATAAACTCCACTATTTTAAACTGCACGCACATCATCTTGTGTCTTGATGTTAAATTTAACACATTTAATAAGATCGCTCCTATATGGTGGCACTGCCATACTTGGACCAGTTGGTAGGAGGAGTAGTGGGCGGTGGTGGCGGCGGCGCAGAAGTTGGTGCAGAGGGCGAGGCTCCAGGGGCGGCGGCTAAGACGGTGATGGCTAGCTTCTGGCCTGACTGGCAGTGGGTGCCATAAGTACATATGAAGTAGTTGTCGCCTGCTGAGGTGAGCGTGACGTTGGCTGGGCTTGTTGTGATGGACGAGCCAATTGCGTTGTCCGAGCTGCATGAGTCGAACGATGCTTTGGGTACTTGTTGTACATCGTATGCGTTTGTGGAGAAGTTGAAAACTGAAGAATTATTAAGAAATAACGTCTAGTGTGAGAAGAGAGGTAAGTAATTTTTAAGAAAAAAGAATCAACTAATACTTAAGTTATATTAATCTAAAGGGTAATTTAAAAATCAAGTAATGTCATGAGAATTAGGTAAAACCCAACGTTAAATAATGAGTTCCCCAATTGGCTGGCAAAGACAATAGGTGTAAATTAGAAGACTTGAGAAATCTTACTGAGAATATCACCAACAGCGAACTTGTTAGCAGATGCCTAAGCTATCTCCCACCACATGCACTGTCTGTGCTGCTTGATGGGTATATTTTATATTATATATCTAACCTCATTCTTAGTATATTTTGGTTAATATTTTGGAAGAATTTTGATATTTTGAATTATATTTCCAATATAGTACTTTCGACTTCCTCTGGAGCAAAACATAATCAAATGGACAAATTTTGGAGTAATTCCAGTTGGAGGATGTTTGTGAGTCACTTAGCTTGATCGTATCAAAATTTCATATTTTTCTACCTAGCGGTTATTTTCTGGCAATAAAATAAAGGAGCAGTGCACAGTGTTGAAATAGTGACGTTTTGGGATTTTATTGTGTTTTTGGAGCCCAAGATGACATCGGATGGGTTCGTGACCTTCTAGAGAAGTGTTCAGAATATTTTTATCTTTAAAACGAGCTATCTTGGGCCAGATTTGGAGGAGACTTGAGGTCAAAACGTGGCTGACCAGATTGTGGGCAGATTCCAATTTGAACTTTATTTCCTAGTATTATTTTATTTTACTTAGTTTCCTTGTGGGGATTGGGCAGCTAGGTTTTAGGAGATATTTAAGCTCTTTCTCACAGGACTTCCTTTTAACTTTTTTTTGGCTTTTGGAGCAATTGCTAGGGTTTTGGATTTTTGCGACTTTCAGGTGTTTTCATTCTTATTCACTTGAATGATATTTTCTTGGATTTCAATTATGAATATGTGTAACTAAGTCTCTTTTGCTAGGGCGAGGCCATAAGCCTCAGCATGAATATGTAATTTTATTAATTGGCTTATGAATGATGCATGTTTGTTTTGAATTATTAATCACTGCGTTTAAAACTATCTATCTATTTTAATGACTGATCACCATTAGGATATATAGACAAGTAATTTGATGCAATTTCTGTTGGAACATCACCCTGAAATTGAGGATGGCTTCTTGTGGTTAGTAGTTGTAAGTTCACTTAAGGCGAACATCACGCTCTTAAGGGTTGCATGGTTTTTCAAAGGGTTTTCACAAAATTTAATGAGTCTTGCATGTTTATATTTGATCTGAACATCACAGACGGATTGCGTGTTAGATATACGTTTTCGCTTGAACATCACAAGGAAAATATGCATTAGGAAAACCTAACCTTCAAAGCATATATGTGGAAATTCATAAGTAATTGATAGAATTGCATAGGATTGTGACGGTGATGGCTAAACCCTAGTTTTCTCTAAATTGTTAGTCTTTGAAAAGAAAACGTCTTTCCTCTTTGCTGTTATTATTTCCCAACTTTCAGATTTCTTTTATTGTTAATTTACTCTTTTCAATTTCATAAACTTCATATTTTTGATCGAATCTATTTTAGTTATTAATTAAGAGTTAGTTTAATTACAAATTAGTAAACAATCTTTGAGGACAACGACCTTGCATGAGCATCTATACTACAATAACCTTGTATTCTTGCAAGTAATTTATGTGATTTTAACCCTATTTGCGCAGGTACTAAAAATCCTATCACTACTACACATTGCACAAACACGGCCATCGAGACACCAAAAACAACCACCATTTTGCTCTCTCTCTCTCTCTCTCTCTCTCTCTCTCTTTGGAGTCGAAGAAAATCAAAAGGCAATAAGAGTTGCTATGGTCAAAGACGCGGCCGCGGCTGGAGGACAAGAGGGTACATGCAATGCATGACCAGGCATGCACCGACAAGAACGTACGCCGGTCATCTCGAATTGTATGCTTTTTGCATTTGTTGTTGGGAGTCCAATGTGTGAAACCAAGACCCAAAGTGGAATGTTCCAACCCTTCTATTTTTCTAGATGGAGTTGCATAGAAGTTGGTCTATTCAATCATGCTTGAGTCTACTTTACTCATATAGTAGGTAACAATCAATGCAATTCGAGAATAAATAACTTTGATGATTTGGTTGTTAATATAATTATAATTTATTCTTTTTATTAATTGGGAAGGGGATTCGAATTTGGAATATTTTTTATTTATTTTGGATACAAGCGATTAGAGGACCTTATAGGTGCAGGGGAGATTCGAACACATAGTTGCTTATAATCATTCCTGAAATTAAGTGATTATAATTACAAATTATTGGTTAATTTAAGAAGTATCTTTGAAATTATAAGGGTCTAACTTAGAATTTATATTATTGTTTTGAAAAATTCTAGTCATTGCATGTTTTGTTGTCCGATGTATTCCAATCAGTTTGTTACCAACTTAAACCTTGAAATTCTTCTTCCCACAAAAGAAAAAACCTCAAAATTCCACGATTTTTAAACCCTTACATCAGGTTTACTATGTTGCTGAAATTACATTTGTGCCCTTTTAATTGTTTTTCCTATGTTTTGAGCTCATTGCTCTCTTTTACACGAGCTCTGTTATATGCGAGCTCTGAACACGTCTCCGAGCTCGCTTTTGCTGGATTCACGATGATGAGCACCAATTCATGAAGGTTGGGCACCTCTTAGCTACAACGACGAAGAAGCTCATAGTGTTGTGTTCGTTAATGTGTAAGCTTCAGTTGAAGCTTACAGTGTTGGGCGTAGCTGTAATTAACCCTACATTTCTGCACTTGACCAGGTGACAAATCCCCATATTAAAGCTAGGGGAGATGGCGGCGACGCCTACATCGTTGACATGAAACTTTTCGAGCTCACTCGCTCTGCTATAGCTTGTAGAAGCTTTGCCGTTATCGCCAGAGGACTGAAGAGCTTCAGAGTCCTTGGAGCCAATTATAAGAGGACAAAAAACGTTGTCCATTCTGTAGGTCGTTGAGGTGAGAGTGTTTGGTTTAGTGTTTTAGATATGGTTTCAATTCTTGTATTGAGATCGAAAGCATATCGAGGTGGTTTGTGATTTTGAATTGTCTTAAAGTTGTGTATGATGCAAGTTGCAAGTTCAATTCGGCTATGATTTGGTTTTGAGAGTTTGCAACTCTCGAGTTTGAGTTAAATTTTGTGACCGATTTATTAGTATTTAAGTTGGAACACATGATCTGTGGCTTGCAATCTTTCTTTTGCTATCAAATCCCTTAGCATAATTTTCTTGACTTACAGGCAACTCACCTTGTGATAATAAATCTGTAATCCCGAGAAATAAGTAAGTCTGCCCATGAATCATAGACTCAAGAAGTAGAGGATTGGAAAAGAGGATCAAAGCAGAAGCAAAACCTAGTCATGACCTGGTACGATCATAACAGGAGAGAAACTAAGATAATTTACAGAAAGAAAACAAAGAGAAAATAGATAGAAAGCTAGAGAGAAAAAGATGATATTCTGTTCTTGTATTTCAGAAATGATATCAAATTACAAGAAAATCTGAGCTTATATATTCAGTAGAAAGCTTACAACATATGCATAACCAACTATATTCCTTAATTTGGCAATCATGGAGCAGCACAAGACCATACTCTACCAATAATGCTGTGTTAACCTTGGTATTTGGTGTAGATGTATCCTTCATAACTGTATTTGAAGACATCATGCTTTCGAATTCCCCAAAAAAGATATCTTCATTTCATGTCACACTTACATAACAACTCTTAATTTGACCTTTTTACTTGAACCGCCTTTATCACGGGCCTTCCTCATGGAACATTTAGGTTACACTATAATTATTAAACTCGTAAGTTTCAAATGAGCACGAACCCCTCTCTCATTCCATGACTTTGATATAGAAGCTCCCTCACGGCAACATGAAGACACTTCTTACAATTGCATAGAAGTTGCGTAGAAGTTCCAACCCTTCTACTTTTCTACGTGGAGTTGCATAGAAGTTGGTCTATTCAATCATGCTCGACTCTACTTTACTCATATAGTAGGTAACCATCAATGCAATATTAATTCGAGAATAAATAACTTTGATGATTTGGTTGTGAAGTTAATTATAATTTATTCTTTTTATTAATTGGGAAGGGCATTCGAATTTGGGACATTTTGTATTTATTTTGAAAACAAGCAATTAGAGGACCTCAGGTACAAGGGAGATTCGAACACATAGTTGCTTACAATTATTCCTGAAATTAAGTAATTATAATTGCAAATTATTGCTTAATTTAAGAAATATCTTTGAAATCATAACGGTCTAACTTAGAATTTATATCATTGTTTTGAAGAATTCTAGTCATTGCATGTTTTGTTGTCCAAATGTATTCCAATCAGTTTGTTACCAACTAAAACCTTGAAATTCTTCTTCCCACAAAAGAAAAAACCTCAAAATTCCACGATTTTTAAACCCTTACATCAGGTTTCCACGATTTTTTACACGAGCTCTGTTACATGCGAGCTATGAACACAAGGTGGGCGTGCTATTTGTGGGAGTTGTTATGTAAGATTCGAGTTGTACCCCTTTTTATCAAGCTAGACAACCATATGTGGATTGCATTCAATGTGCAAATTAAAAGTTATTTTAGGTACCACAGGTTAGCGAAGGAAAACTGAAGAACGAATTATGCTAGCTAGCTCTTTGTATGACAAATTGTTACGGATTGTGCAAAACCAATCTATTCTTATGAATGTTTCATTTGATTGGTATTTGTATTAGCCTGTTTCAAATGAAGGCAAAATCCATTATTGACGTGTATCATGTATGTGGTTAGCTTGCTATTGGATTATCATTCAGGTCTCAACACATTAATTCACCACCGCTAATTTGAGTAGGCAATTAACTGATCACCAGCAAAGAAACAAAAATGCATACTTGATTATGGCAGAGATCGAATTTTCAACAGAGGGAGTTCCTTTATTGATAATGCAGTCAAACAAACATCACGATTTGATTATATGAAAAAATCAGGGATAATAACTTCCCTTATATCTCATACCAAATATTATACTAAACATCAAAATTAATGGATCCCCAAGATAATAATAAAAATTGTTCCATCTCTTGAGGTCTTCAAAAGAACAAACCCATGACAAGAGCCAAGGACGACAAAAAGAAACTAGCGAAAACAGCCCCGGATGAAGAAGCCGGTGGGGGCGGTGGAGGGGTGTTCACATTGGGGTCAGTGGAGGAAGGTGATGGTGCTGCCACTGGAGGAGGACAAGCAGCAGGGTCGTTTGATGTCGGAGAAGGTGTAGTAGGAGGAGAGTTAGCAGCAGGAGGTGGAGGAGGCACAGAAGGTGGTGAGGCTCCTGGGGCGGTAGCTGAGCCTGAGACGGTGATTGCCAGCTTCTGCCCTAACTGGCAATGGGAGCCCAAAGTGCAGATGAAGTAGTGCTCGCCGGCTGAGGTGAGCGTGACGTTTGCCGGGCCAGTTGTGATGGTAGAGCCGATTGCGTTGTCCGAACTGCATGAGTCGAATGATGCTTTGGGTACTTGTAGTACATCGTGTGCGGTGGTGGTGAAGTTGAAAACTGAAGAATTATTAAGAAACGTTTAGGGTGAGGAGGTAAGTAATTTTTTTTTGAAAAAATAAACTAATATTTTTTGAGGACTTTTTCTATTGAGGGGAGGAGCGATAGTATACTAAACTCACACACACTACACAGATGCTAGGACTCAAATTCAGGACATTACCTGAAAGAGTAAATACTCCAAACAACTACACTAGTAAATCTTTTACAAAAATAAACTAATACTTAAGTTATTAATCTAAGAGTAATTTAAAACTCCATGTATATATACAGGGGCGGGCCACAGCAAGGCCTGCCATGGCCCTGGCCTCCCATTTAATTTATTACAAAATATATGATATAGCAATACAATTACTGCAATTAGATTAGCGATGGCCCTCTTAATTGAATATGAAAAACCTATGTGGAAGTGATTTTGAAATTTTGGCCCCTCCATGCTAAGAATCCTAGCTCTGCCACTATATATATATATATATAATCGCCTCAGGATCTAGGAAGAAAAGAAGCTGATTGTAACTTAATAAAAAAGCGAGAGGTTGGAAAATCTTACACAGAATATCGCCAACCACGAACTTATTGTTACCAGCCCAAGTGAGGTACGCTTGGGCGCCGCCAGATGGTGGAATGGTCCAACCTATGCTATCTCCCACCTCGTGAACTTTTTGTGCTGCCACACTTTGCAAGAACATTGATACAACCAAACCAAAAACAATCACCATCTTGCTCTCCATCTCTCTCTCTCTCTCTCTCTCTCTCTCTCTCTCTCTCTCTCTCTCTATCCGTACAAAATCGTGCTGTATGTGGGTACGTGATCACTGAGAAGAATTGCAAGGATGCAAGAAATATTGGTGCCTATAAATACAGAAGAGCGACAACTCAACTTACAGAAGAAGTAAGAAAGAATGAAGAAAGACTTGTTAATTGGTGGGGAGTCTTGGACGCGGCAGCCTTGACGAGGAACATATAGCAATTGCAATTAATATGCATGTGAACGCCGGTCGTCTTAAAATTTGTATGCTTTTTTCGGTGGAAAGTTCCAGCCACCTATTTTTCTAAGTTCCATGTAGAAAAGACTTTTCCGTCATGCTTGACTTTCTATAACTAGTAGTATGTGATAACTGAATTTGCAAAACAACTATTTGAATTTCGGATGTGAATATAAGAACTATTATTTCATTCGAGAAATTAATGGTTTGAAGAGTAATCTTTTGGCATATTTACAAGAGTCCAATGTCCATGGAGACTCGGTCCTCTGTGGAAACTTCCAAATTTCCAGGATTTGGAAACTTTGGTGCCTTGATGTTTTAATTAATTAAATACAATTCTTTAAGGCTACTATCATAGTGAATTAATACAATTACGTGGTTTGATAACCATTTTAATTTTTCTTTTAGTTTTTATTTTTTTGTGCTAGAGTCCAGAGTAAAATGAGAGTGATAATGGGAGTGATATTGAGAGAGAGGATGAGAGAGGAGAGGATGGGAGGGAGGAGTAACAAAAGTGAAAACAATTTAAAATAGATTTCAGTTTTTAATTTTTGTTTTCACTTTTGTTACTCCTCCCTCCCACATCCTCCACTCTCATTTTCCCTCTCAATCTCATCTCCACTCTCATTCTCACTTCCATTATCCTTTTTTTTTCCTCTATACTCTAGCATAAAAAATGAAAACTAAAAACTACAATTGTGTTGTGCAAAAATACTCCAAGACCTTGTTGTTGATGGACTACACAACTACCACACACAAGCCACGCAAAGATAAAGCCCAAAAAGTAAACACATACACAAAGAACACAAGAATTTCCTAAGTGGGCTCCGCTCGTCGGAGTTCTTCTTACGGCCTCAGCTTCGCTCAAGGCTCGTAGGAAAACAAATTCCTTCTTCGTAATCTCCCAAACGGGCTCCAAAGTTGATGACGTTAGCACCCTCATGCACGGCTCAAAGATGTTTAAGATCTGGGTGGTCAGAGATGTTGGTTGTAGGTGGCGGCAAGGTTTAGTTGGGGGTGGTCAGAGATGTTGGTTTGATTTCTAATTTCTTTTATTTTTTATGTTTCACCCAACTTCGCCGTTAAGGGTGTCATCGCGAGTGACACTTCTTGGTTTTAGTGGTGCTTGTGGTGGGGGGGGCGAGGTGTAAGGCCATGTCCAACCCAAGGACCTAAACTCCAAATATCCCAAATTATTGCCCAAAACCTCTCCCAACCCAAGAAGATGAAGGACCCAAAATTTGGGAAAACCCAAATTTGGACCCAAATACCAGTCCAAATTTTGCCTGGGCCCAAAACTATTTAGTGGAGCCCACGCTGAGGTGGCACAGCCCATGTGCATGAGAAAAACACCAGGACTCGCGCTGGGACTAGCTCTGGTGGGTTTGTCTGTTGCCCATGCCACGTGTCTGCTCGTGGCGAGAGAGCCATTGCAATTCCAATGTCTCCTTTTTTTTTCTTTTTTTTTAATATTTAAAATCTAATAGTATCTTTAAAAAGAGACTGGGCCCACAGGCTGGCTTTATTCCAGCGCAAAGTGGCGTTGCAATTCAAATATTATTATTATTATTTTTTTAAAATTCTAATAGTAATTCAAATATTCTTATTTCAATCCTCATTTTGTGTTTCAATTATGTTGTGTATTTTTTTTTAATGTTGTGTGTTTACTTTTGGAATAAAATTAAATTTATGGAATTTCAATTTTTTTTAGGTCAAATTGTCCAAAAAATTAAATTATGTTGTTATTTAAAAAGATTAAATGAAGAAAAGTTTTTCAAAAAAAAAAAATTTAGACTTAAACCATTCTTAAACAATTTAATAAAGTTGCGGACTTAAAATTTGAGTTCGAAGGGTTGGGAGAAAAAACAATTTGAGTCCGGGCAAAACCCAAATTGTCACTTTTTTGGAGAAAGAAAATTTGGGTTTAGCCCCTCATTGGTTTGAGAAGGCCTAAGGTGAACGAGGGGGAGGGAATGGTGGTTAGGGTATTTGAGAGGGTGGCTATAGAGAATAGTGGGGTGATTCAGGAAGGGAGGAGAGAAGTAATTGAATTTATAATTTATTAAATTATTTAAAGGTAAATCATTTTTATTATTTGTTTGTCCATGTTGGAGATGGGGCCCACTTGGCCACATCACCCAGATTGGTGTGAAATAACCCATATGTTTGAAATGACCATAATATCAATGTCATGTCATCAATTTTAACAAATTTTTGGATGGAGTTAACAGTAAAGGTCAAAGTAGAACACCAAAACTTGGTAAAGGAGACAAACTGAGTTACTTTGACTTTTAGAGAGTCAAGTGAGGTTTGACCATAATTTCAAGGGCACTACAGTAAATAAGCGTTTAAAAAGTGCATAAAGTATGTGCATCATTTGAAAAGTGAAGTAGTTTTTTAGTGAGATCATATACGATTATTTATTGCAATTGAAAACGATTGTATTTTGCTATTTGTTTATCTTTAAGAGGGAAATCGAACTTAACACCTCATTATTCAATATTCTGAAAGAAACATACCAGTATAATTAACTAGTTTTAAAAAAAAAAAAGGATTTTGATTTGAGCATAAGGCTAAATTTGCTACAATATAAGAACCACATTCAATTGAAGCTATTTGGAATAACTACATGTAGTGCATTTGAAATGATTATATGAAAGGAATCATTTGAAATCCATTTCCTTCTTGCTTAAATCTTGGCATACATGAATTGTACTAGTCCAAACAAACAAGTTTACCTTATAATGTCATCTAGATCAATATATTTGGAATCCTTCCATTCAAATGGAGCCTACAATTTATTAGTAACCAAACGAAAGGCCAAATCTAGTTCGTTTGATTTGTTTCAATTCATGAATTCCCTACGTTTATTAACACATAAGAAATCATAAAATATGCGAGCCTCATTAGTTTTTAGATTCCGATAGTAAGATTATTTAAAATTAAGTATAGGTTATGGGGTAGCCAAAATAGGGTAACAAATAAAAAAGAGAAAGACAGAAAGTATTGCAAACTGCTGGAATATTATTTGTTAAAAAAAGCCGTCAGGAATTGTACTGTTAATGAATTACAATGAATGATAATGTAAGAAAAGAAAATGAATTGGCTATACATGGAGAGATTTTACAACATTAGGAACCTGAAACACTTCCTTCAGCTGTTGATCATAAGCCTAATTATCATGTTAACATTAAAAACAGAACAGCAGCACAACTTGTGAAAACCCACGTATGTGAAGATTGAAACCAGCCTCGAAGTCCAAGACCCTGAAACCCAACATTTTAGATAAATGATTGAAACAAACACACTGGAAAATCAGAGAACTGTTTGACAATTATATGAAACTCATACCTTGTAATTAAGGAGAGATGAGGATGCTGCAGAAGGACCTACAAGTCCAGTGAACCCAATGTCATAAGAAATGCTCCCATCAGCTTTGAACAATCCGAAGTTCCTCTCAGACGTTGGCCCCGGCTTCAAATTCTCATTGAACAAAGCAAATATGTAAGCTTTCACTACCGTCTTTGGCCTATGAGGTGTCCCCTTCTTCTTCGTTAGCCGTTTGCGTAAGTTGTAGTTGTAAGTCCTGGCATTTTTGGGATCTGCTCCTGCTTCATTTTGGTCACCTTTAGATGCCCAACCGGTTTCAGAAACAATGACCTCTGTCTTCTCAAATCCAGCCTTCTCCAGAGCAAAATAAGCTGCATCAACCATGGCGTCGAACATGTTGTCGTAGTGCAGGTTAGTCTTTGTGTCCTGAATCCCAGCATTTTTCTTAAAGAGAGCATAGTTGAGGTCAATGTGCTCAGGATCACTCTTGTAGGCCAGAAATGGATATGCATTTATGTAGAAAGGGGAATTGATCTGTGAGAAGAACTCCAAAAGCGGCTTTATGTATTGAGCAACATCTTCCCTGAAAATGCAGGCAGATGGTGGGTAAGAATTGGCAAACACAGCCTCTGAATGTGGACTTGAGACCTCAATGGATTTCGCCAAACCAAGCCTTTGAAGCGCGCTGTAAACGTTCTTGGCAGCAGGCAACAAGGCCTCCCAGAGTTCCACATCAGCGCCCCCCAAGATCTCATTGCCCACTGCTATTCCGGAAATGTGAGTTCCAGGAATGTATGGCTGCACATTTTCATTTATCCAATTCATGGCGCGATCCTCGGCTACACTGATGTCTTTCAGGGACTCATTTCCAAGTCCAACAATTATTTGAATCCCCGATCCCTTGAACGCGGTGAGGACTTCGTGATCAGCGTCGTATATCCTGATGTTCTTGATCTTTGCGGCTTTGAGAAGTGTTACCACACTGTGAGGTGAAGGTATATTGTCAGCGATCCGGCCATAGTTTACTCCATATGTTCCTGTAAAAGATGCATCCACTGAACAGAAAGATACAAAGGTTCATCAGACAAAGACTGTTCTCCAAATACTTCAACAAACATAAGACACATGAACACATAATTTAACATTTAAAAATATTAAGCAAATTAGAAGAGAAAATAAGAAGAAAGCAAATGTTAAGTCAATATAAGTGACCATACAATTCATCGAAAAGCCTACTTGACATTAAAAGTTCAGCAAATAGTGGAAGAAGTAGTTACCATTGAGAAATGTAGTTGTGGAGAAGACAAGAAGGAAACAGAGATAAGAGAGCTCCATTTGTTTTCTGGTTCTACTAACAATGAAGGAGCATTCAATTTGTAGAGAGGAAGTGGAGATGACCTAATAGTAATGTTGTGTAACCCACCAACAACGGCAACCTCAACCGAGATACCAGCGTAAGCAATCCTTGGGATGATGCAATACTTTTGCTTCAGGCAGGCCATAGACCCAAGATTCTTAGCCTTCCTTAAGTCCAGAGATGATGTCCAAAGGTTGTGATTCTGTGAACAAAGAATGCAAGATTCTTAACCTTAATGCAAAGGTGGCAAAATGTTTTTTGGGGGAGGAGCATAGAATAGATTCTTACTTTACTCTCACTTTTAACTGTCTTTTTCAAACTCAAAGTATACCTTTTCCACTATCTGGTTTTGTTTTGTTTCCATCTGGGTACTTTCTCTGTTTCTTGAAAAGGCTCTCTCTCTGTCATAGGCTTTGGGATCGATGGTTCAATATTCCTTTCGTGGGAAAGGAGAAAAAGTACCCATGTATGGAAGAGGTTTCAACATAAAATGTTAGTGGCCGCAATTATAAGCCTTTTGGATGTCCATGCTTCAAGATTCACTGTGGACAACAACCAAAAAAAAAAAAAAAAAAAAAAAAAAAAAAAATAAGATAATAATAATAGTATAATGATGCTTGCATGTAAATACAAAAGTAAATAGCAAAGGTCCTATACAAACCAAATTCCAAGGCTTACTTTTAAACAATAAAAATAAAAAATTTCAGAGAAAAATAGGTAATTAAATTATGAGCAAAACACTCAGAAAGAAGATTTGTGATTTATTTCAATTAAGAGGGGGCATTTGAAATTCATAATTAAAATATATATATATATATATATATATATATATATATATATATAAACAAGCAATAGTCTAAACTATAAGGATAAGGGAGATTTTTCACACACACACTACCAAATGTCAAATGAGTTCGAACCTAAGACCACTGGAAGCTCAAGGTCATTTTCCACTAGATTAGACCCCGTTGGTATATTGTTCATTACTACTCAGGACATCAGCAACAACCAATAATCATGATAGTAATAAATTAAAGGCTAAGAATCATGTAATTCATAGCTATTGTTTGGCATATTGTTCATAGCTACTTGATATTTCTGTTACACGAATTATAATAAAAATTATATATTAGAACTTTTAATAAGCTGGAGCTAATTAAAAGTTCTCTGTTTTCCACCATGCTCTCGGATCTTTCCCAAACTGTATAACATAATGAAGCTGCAGAATAATCTTATACCTACTCATCATCGTTTCTCTCTTATTGATCAGACTGCAAAGAAACATATTCGTCCAAAAGCAGAGAGCTCAAAATAGCACTCAATTTTGAGAAACACAAGCACCCCAGGACATTAAAAACTTCAGCCACATTAACAAAGTAACAAGGTAACAAACGAAATGCACTTGATGACTATCTACAACAAATAAAAAGCAGCCGGCCCAGCAGGGATCTCTTACATTCTACAATCTAAGCTACTGCATAACTATAGCTGCAGAAACTACAAGACCTATTCTTCTACCGGACTGGTTGGTTCCCTACATAAAATTAAATTCTAACATTAACAACATTAACATTATATCATCATTAACTCCCGGAGTTACTGTAACAAGGGAAGGCCAAAAAAAAAGGGTTAAATGGATGTCACAGAATCCTAAGTGCGATAAATGGTAGTACAGCACATTCAACAGCTCACTAGAAAGGTGGTAGATACGTTCAGCTGCTCAATGGAGGGGTCTCTAGATTTTGTGGGGCATCAGCTTGCACCACTTGCTCAGCCTTGCCATTTTCAACAACCTCCCCATCCTTGGTCTTGATTTTCTCGTCAGCTTCAGCATTGCATTTTCCACCGTTCTCTGCTGCATCATTATTCCCCTTGATCTCTCCCTCCGTATGAGGTGCTGCTGCATCCACATTCTCTTTCTCCGCAGCCCCATTTTCTTCCACAGTCACAGCAGCTGTGTCATCCTGTTTTTTGCCGCTAGTTCCATTTGCTTGTTCTTCCCCTGCTTGTGGCACCTCTTCTTTGTTGTTTTCAGTTATCTCAGTAGCAGCTTTATCCTCTGTTACAAAATTTTTCTCTGCATTTTTCTCCTTGCCTTGAGTTTTCTTATCATCATTCTCAACGTCTGCATCTTTTTCTTTCTCTGCTTCCGCATCTTTCTCTTTCTCAGCTTCTGCATCTCTCTTCTCAGCTACTTCTGCATCTTTCTTCTCAGCTACCTCTGCATCTTTCATTTGAATTTCATTCGTACCATCAACTTCTCTTCCAGCAGCTTCCACTTTGTTGTCCTTTGAACCTGATGATTTTCGCCCTCTTTTTTTGGGAGGCTCACTCTCTGGTGCTGGAGCCACCTTGACCTTTTCACTGATCCTTGCTGATCTCCTAGGGGTTTCACCAGTGCTCCAATCAAACTCTGATATTGCAGGGTTACCAGGGTGTGATTTTAAGTACTGCTCCAATTGTTTTCTATTATTAATCTCCTCCCCCGTTGGAGAAATGAATACGATCTCATTTTTCCTTGGTGTACCTCCCTTCTTGGGGAAAAACTGCAGAACAAAGAGAAAGCAAATGTAAAAAACCATATCCAAGGATTCTGTACAACAACCACATTGACTTAACTCGATCAACCATCCTTAGTAATTCCAACAATGCTAGCATGGTATAGCCAAATATTAAAGGATTCAGAAAAGCATATGCCCTTGTTTTGAAACATTTAGAAAGGTAGGCAAAGAGTTCTGCAGCATGTATTAAAAGTGACTATGTGATCTAATTACAAGGACCAAATAAAAAAGCAGATTCATAATGTCACCAGAATATCATTCACTTTTCACAAGCTGTTTTGAGTAGGTTGTCCACATATTTTACCAGAACACTCAGATTTCATATACCAGAATAGTCAGATAAGCTTAATTAAATTCTTTCAAACTTGTGCAACATCAGGCCAGAGTACTTGAATAGTCAGATAAGAATTTAATTTGTCATGGCCAGAGTACCAGAAAACTTCTCCAACATTGGGTGGCTCTCCACCAGAACAAACAACCATGGCAAATGAAACCTTAACTTCCACTTGGGTTTTTAACTCAATTGCAAGAAGTTTTATCACAAATACGTCCTCCATGAAGATTTTCATGTGAAAGTATACTTCTAAAGTAGTTGGCATCCATCTAAGACGTAAACCTCCTCCAGCACTATTTTACCGATGAAAGTTCCCCAGTTGTATATAACAACCTTTGAGTTCTTGGCATGGTATAATTTTTTTCTCCAAAATTTCCACAGAATCCCACTTGCTTATCCTCACTCTATCAGGATCCAACTTATTTCACAACCTTCATACATCAATCGACAATTCTAATTTTATACTGCAGATACACAATATATACACAACGTATATACTATCTTGTTCATGATTAGGACAATATAACCGATTTATACTGTATGGAGCGAAAGAAATGTTAGAGGCAATACATACATTGGAGGAAACAGAATGGCTTGCCCAAGAAACCGGATGGTTGTGGGTTCGAGTTCCGGAAACAGCCTCTACAAAAACAGGGGTATGGCTGCATACATCTTGTTCTCCTCAAAGTCAAACCCGACATTACAGGAGCCTCATGCAGTGGGCTGTCTTTATTTTTTTAACATAGAAATGAATATATACAGAACGCATGCACATGCAAGAGAGAGAGGAGAGAAAGAGGGGAGAGGAACTTGTGGATATTGCTTCTCTATGTTTTACGACCATTTAGGTCTGATTTCATAAGTTTGCAAATTTATTTTGATACTTTCAAGAGAGACAAGAATATAACCAAGGGGAGATTTCTGGGATTATACGAACTAGAAGAATGAAGATGAAGCATGCAGTATTTAAATTTAAATTATATGATCTGAACTGTATTGCTAGGACAATGACCCTTTTTGTCTTCCCCCAAAATTACACACATGTTGTCAGTGCAAACATTGGTTTCCTATATAGCTGAACACTTTAATTTATATAGTGCAAAAATACAATGCATCAATTTTAACCACTCTTCTTATTTTAGAAAATTGTGTTAAGTTGTATAAAGTAAGCATATACACATCTGACGGAATGGAAAAAATAGGAAATATCAGCAAATCAAAGCATAAAGGATTTCAAATTCAACTTAACACAATTTTCTAATTTTATAACATAAAAGGTGTTAGAGAACCAAGTTCCTGTTTAAATGGTCAATCTTAGGTATAAGCACTATATGATATAGGCAATAAAATATTTCAACCAGAAATACTCTTTGTCCAATGGTTAGAAAGTAGCAGAGGTTCGCCTCTTATAGATCTCAAATATTTATGAAAATCTATGGTTAACCATCAAAAACCCGATTATCCTAATGTAGATCACATTCTGCCCCTATTTTCATTCAAAGGTTAGCAAAGAGCGTGCCAATTTACCTAGTTTCTTGTCCTTGAGGAGACAAAGAGTTCACTAGGAATCACAACTCGCAGACCTTGACTCTCAAAAACTGCTAAACATGTAAAAATTGATTACTTGATGACACTAAATACTTTCTCACAAAATTAATCCCAATTAAACAAGAGGAAATTTTGTCATGCAGAAACAGGGTTCTCCTTTTAGGACCGACTACAACAAGCTCGCTGACTCCCCATTCGTCATAAGGCATGGAACCTAATCAATATGAGAAATACAAGAGCATACTAGGCATGCACGTAGAACATACATTGATTTTGAGGAATGAAGTTTTCAATTCCTCATGTTTTACTTTCAAACAAGATAACATAAGGCAGGAGGAAAAGACTTATGTTGCTGGATTCAATCTTATTATTTATTCTTAACGAGTTGTCATCCAGATTTATGGTACAACAGAAAGTTGAATACAGCTATCCTACTCAATGAAACCAACGAGGTCTGCAAGGTTCACATCTAAGCAATACCCTCTACGTGTGGTGAACTCAAGTTACTTCTGAAATAGCGTCAACAACATAATGACTAGAAAAGACTATCTTCTTAAGAATTTTTAGTTATACTGAGATGAATCATCTCATCTATCTACAATCGATTAAAATCACACATAAAAGTAGTGTTAATCTCCCACACTTATGTCAACTATCTAATTCTAAATCAAGTTCTGAGACACATAAAAGGGACATGACCAAATCCTTTTGGGCCTAAGTCATCAAGTATCGGTGCGTCACTGAACACTGATACACAAACTTCAGAAGAAACAAATAATGTTGTTGTTCCAGCATCAAACCCAAAATTCTTTTAGATTGTGCCTGACAAATGTCTACTACAAAGGACTTCAAAGGAGGCGATTATAACCCAAGGCAGAGTTTAGATTAAGCTAAAGCTGCTAGCTCGGGCTCTCAGCTGGTTGTCGTTACCTAGGGCAACCATCAGAGGTCAAGGACAGCCATTTATTAGGATTTAATTGGCAAAAGCAGGGTAAGACAACATGTTTTGAAGTTAATGTAGCATACAGTTGAAAAACCAAAATTACTGCACTAATTTAATGGGATTTCTCATCATAATTCTATCTGACTAGGCAGCTAGCAATTATACAACAGTTGGAATTCCCCTCAAGGATTAAAATATCGGCCGTGCAGATAATATCGGGCCTCCAATTTACGGATATTTCGGAGGATATATCGTTATCGTTTTAGGTATCGGAAAAAATCAACAAAAATGACAGATATAGGCATTGAAACACATAATATTGGTGTAAAACTTTCATAGATGTTATGTACATTATCAATGAATGTATTGAACAAATGAAACTCAAAATTTACTAATAATAAGATATACATATGATGAAATATAAGTGGTATGTAATGTGCGTTAAGGAAAAGTTCGAAAATAAAATGTTAATTAGAATGAATAAACCATGCATAAATCCGTAGTTTGTTTAAACATTGGATTACAATTTAGATAAGTGTCCATTTACATAAATGAAGAGCTCCTATGAGGTTCAAACAATGAGGAACAACCATCTAGATTCGTACAATAGTCATACCAAGTCATGTAACCCGAGCAGTTTGTAAGCCATGTTTGAACATGGTGCACATAGGTCTCTCTTGAGCTCCCTATTGTCCTCCCATATATGGGATAGTTAGGATTAACCAACTAGTAGGTCCATAATCTTTTTTTATCATCTTGAGCTCCATAACTAGTTCCCCTATAATCAGACATGACATAACCATCATAAGATTCATTTGAGTTAGTACTAGGTCTAGTTCCTATGCTCATAGATCAACTGATCGCCATGTCCTCTTCAGATGGATTGGAGGTATATGGGCAGTGGACTGTGCATAGATTCTTCATATTAGTAATTATAGGGTTCTGGGCAAAGATTAGCTATTTTTGGGTTTCAATTTGCTTCAATTGCCTTCAAAACTTCTAAATTTTTTTTGGGTTTTGTTATGGCTATCGGGAAATATCGGGGATATCGGCAAAATATCGAGGATATCACACTTATTGGGGATATATCGTCGATATAGGGGAAGATATGGCCTTACCCCCCAGTATCGATGTCGATAGTTGAAAATACCGATATATCGGCATATATATCGGTGTATCGGCCGATATTTCAATCCTTGATTCCCCTAAGCCTAAAAGTTGTTTAATAACCTTTGTGTGACAGTGTAACAGCCATAACTGGGTTGTAGGTTTTGAATCCATAGATTTCTACAAAGCGAGGCTACAAAGAAATTCCATATCAGATGACACTACATGATTCAATTACCATATCAGTTATATTCATTAATGGCGGACAATTAACAAAAGGAAACCTGTCGAAACAGGATATGATCAAAAATTTATTTTGGAAACGTTCAAAGCAAGCACCTATCAATAGAAATGGAATCACCAGGAGTGCAAATTTTTAAGAAAATCTGGGTTTGGTCATCACGAGGGTACCAAATTGAAGAAATGGATATGCGGTTTATGGGTGAATGCCCTAAGACTTTGTACCCTACAAGGGAATAGTTCATGGGGGTTTCCCTCGTTACCTGAAAAAAAATAAAAAGATCCTAAGTTCAAGCTCACCTCTAGTAAGTCTACCATACTTGTAAATGTGAAGGAAACCACCAAGATCTATCTAGAACAAATAATATTTGGCTACTATTTATTTCCCAAGACCTTCCAATTACTGAACTTATAGAATTACATTTCTTTTATACAGAACTAGCTCCAACTTACTTCTAAGAGGATGAATTTTTCAACATATTAACAGAGATTCACACAAACTGCCAACAAAAAGTACTTGATCTAAATGATGTAACCTTTAACAAAGTCCAGCTAGGGTTCCATACAGATAAAGCAGTTCCCATATCTTAGAGCACAAATTAAGCATTTTTTACCAGGGAATACAACTTTGCTGAAATAATAATAACAACACTAATAAATAAAAATACTGGACATATTTATATATATATTCCTTGGCATATATGTGTTAGCGTAAAGTATTTCTCCAGAATACTTCACCAAAAGAAGCTTTCCTATATTTTGCACCGGCACTTTTTGGACAATCACCAAATTCAGTAAACACTTTACACTAACAAGAGACCAAAAATTTACAACAATAATCAGCACACGCCAAGTCAAGAGCCCATCCCTTAAAAGCTACTGCCCTTATTTCGGCATCCATAAATTACTGCCTTGAATTAGAAATTAATTTGCAAACAAAAGAAACGAAAAAGCATAAAAAGCCCTACCCTTGAAAGCAAGCAATTTCAGACAAAGTTCTACCACATAGCACTAACAAACAGCAAAAAATTGAAGCAAATTAAGAAAAAACAGAGCTAAAATCATACCAACCCCAGCACCCAAAAACCAAAAAGAAACAAAATACCCATGAATTAGAAGCTAGAAGCAAACATAAAGGTACAAGAACAGTTCATAGCATGCAAAATAGGGCTGGTTGGTACCCAAAAATAAACAAATAAAATTTGGATTAGTAAACAAAAAGAGTGTTAGAAAGAAGAGACCTTCTTCTTCCAAGCAGGAGGAGCTGAAAGCTCAACAGAAACCTCATCCACTTTGCTATCCATGTCTGCAACTGCAACCCGTAGAGAATTCACACACACACAACCAAAACACCCCAACCCCAAGCTCTCTCTCTCTCTCTCTCTCTCTCTCTAAAACACACTTTCTCTTTCTCTCTCTAAAGAAGTGGTAAGAAGCTCTACGAAACCGTTGGGAGCTTTTTTCTGTTTTTTTTTATATAAATATTTTCACTGTTAAATAAAACCGTCACAAAATTTATTAAAAAAACAGTCACGCCTAGACAAGTAGGCGTGCTTTTTTGATTAATGCCTGTCTAATCACTCAATTAAAAGCTTATTTTGCGTTGTAATCATTGTTTAATCTCTTTTTTCTGGGGATAATAGTGACAAGGGTCGTCTTGTCACGTGAGCGCGCTCACGGATAATGTTTTTTAAACCGTCTGACCCACCCACATTTTCGCTTCTAGAAGTTTACCTTGACTCAAACCAGACAATATTTTGCAGATTTAAATATTATTTTTGTTAAAATTATATAATATTAATAAAATAAAATAAAACCCAACAAATTGGGAGATAAGAGTAGAATCCCAATGTTTTTATCTAACGGTCCTCAACTACTCACCCATTTATTTTTATTTTTATTTTCATATTTTCGATTTATTTATGATATATCTATATATATAAAGCAAAAGACAGAGAATTGTGAAACATTCAAAATGCCAGAAAAATGCCATTGATTAATATAAATATTAAGAATTAAAATTATTAATTAAATGATGATAATATGGTAAATTCACACTTTTTCATATTAAAAAAATCAAAATTAAGAGAAAATCAGATAATTGATCATATTTTTATGAAACACAACTACCCATTATCTTTTTTAATTCTAAAATAAAATTAAAATTTTAAATATAAACAAAACAAAAAAAAACAAAAAAAAACACCTCTCGCTGGCGCAGAAGAGCATACGGAGAGGCTAGTATATATAAAGCAAAAATCAAAGGATGGTGAAACATTCAAAATATCAGAAAATATCATTGATTAATGCAAACATTAAGAGTTGAAATTATTAATTAAATGAGAATAATATGGTAATTTCATATTTTTCATATTAAAAAAATTTAAAATTTAAAACAAAATCAAATAATAAATCATATTTTTATAGAATACAACTATCCAATATCTTTTTTTAATTCTAAAAAAAAATCCCAATTGGTAAACGCTTGAGTTTAATAACCAAGGGACTAGTTTCAATTATTGGAGAGTTTATTAATGGAGGGTTCGGCTAAACCTACCTACCTACTTACTTGTGTACTATTTTCTAGATAAATATGATTTGGATTAATAAAAGAAATGGGCTGCAATATAAGGCCCACATTATCACCAATCTGGAGAGAACCCAAAGTCCAATGAATTAGCATACTTCCATTTTTGGCCCAAGTGAAGAGGTAGGCTTTTTCATTTATTTTTTTTATCCTTTTTTTTATTAGAATAGATTGATTAAAAAATAATAAGCATCATAAGAGTGTACAAAAGATAGCACTTGTTTGGGCCTAATTTGGCACACCCAATCCAAAAGATCAAAAGCCCATATCAATTTTTGACAAGCCACCAACGTTCCCTTATAATTGGGTCAAAATTACACACTCAGCCCAACACTGGAGGCCCAGAAGGACGAGACAAAATCAGACTTAGGCAATATGGATTAGAATTGAAATCGAATACCCAAAAGTCAAAAAGCCCATACCCAAGTCAAATTTTTTTTACCAAGACCCAAAAATTAGAAGGAAGCCCAGTACATGCGAATTACTCAGCCCACAACCCTAAAAAATCAAAACTGGGCTTGGGATGATTAAATTAAAAAATATTTTCCAAAACAAACCCACGTGACTAACTGGCATTGAAAAAATCAAAATTTTCAACTATTGCAGAGGGGTTGATAGGAAATTAATAAAGGCAGGTTTTTACAAAAAGACTTCTCTATTTTTTACCTAGCCAAAAGAAGAAAGGTCATAATTTATATATATATATATATATATATATATATATCTAGAGAAGCTCTGCACCAAAACATGTGATCTTCCTAAGAGATAAGCAAGCTACAATCTCAAGAGATAAGTGGGAAGCAAGGAAGTTGTTCAAACAAGAAAAGCAAACTTACCATTGTGTCTGATTGTGCTCTTTCTCTTTACCAAGAACAAACAGAGAACAAAGAAGAGTTGGTTCTTCTTTCAGAAAAGCAAGGAAAATACCTCCATGAAAACTGATTAATGATGGTCTACTTGCCAGAATAGATAACTTCCTTTTCTTTGACATTTGAAAATAAAAGATCTTTGTTTTCTAGAAAATCTGTCGCCCCTTTAAAGATTAAAATATCCCACTCCAGCATTTCCTATAAATATGAGAGAAGGTGAACAGAGCAGACGACAACCAAAAAATCAATCAAAGACAAAAACTCAAAATGATCACTTGATCTCAAAGAACCTTCAAACAAATTGAAGCAACCAAAATCTCATTGAGCCACAAGAAAAAAGCTAGCTACAAATCAAAACTTCCAATTTCAGACTTAGAGAAATAAGGCATTCAAAACGAGATTTCTCTAGTTACAAATTTGTTTAGCAAAAGCCAAATCAAGCAGAGTCTGAGTTTTTACGAATATGAAAACCTCAACAAATTTATGGAGAATCCTGATCAAGCATAACAGGAACCACAGTGCAGTTCCAGCTTAGTAATCCTCAAGTCCAGTCACTTCTGCCCCTTTCAGACTGAAGAGGCTGCAATTTTGCCCGTTCAAAAAGCCTTCCAGGGCTTGAAATAGATTAAAGCTCTGCCAAACTCGAACATTGGTATCGATTTATAGCTGAGACTTAACAATTGAAGTTGCTAATAGTCCAGTCCAGCACAAACATATCTAGTCCAGCCCTGATCAGAAGCATCTATCCAGGTAGAAATGGAAGTCCAGCCTTCCTTTTGTCTTTCTAGAGTTGGATTTTCCTTCTTGAATGTTGTAAAAGGCAGTTCCGCCAAAAAACAGTTCACTTTCTTATCATTTATTCTGGTAAGAACTACCAATTTTGTATTGTGAAAAATTATGAAGTCCTCATCAGTCTTAGGCAAGAAAAGAACTTACTTGTGAGATATTTCTCACCCAAATTCACAATCGCTTGTTTAGAAATCAGTAATTTGGGATGCAAGTTATCTATTTTTAAGAAGTCTGCTAGGATTTGTCATTGCTAGCAGTGGCATGCTCGCACACTAAAGAAAGTTGACCCTACCATCACAGGAACAAACAACAAACGGGTGAACAACATTGAAAATAGCCAGGCTATCCAAAACCCAAACATGAGAAATAGAAATAAATGCGTGATCTTAAAAAAGACTTCCCCCTGAACAACTCAAGGGGAAACAACAAGAAAGAGAAAGAAAGAAAAGGAAGCGTAAACATCCCTTTAATCTGCACATCAAAAAAATCTGGACAGCACCAGAAAATTGCAACCTACAACTCAATAAAATATATATATATAATCAAAAAATGAGATAATAAATAAAACAAACAAAAATAACAAAAATAACAACAACAAAAAAAAGTAACTAGCTAACAAAATCCAAACAAAAAGCTAAAAAGAGATAAAATAAGAAGCACAAAAGGTGGAAACAAAATAAAATAAAAGAAAAAATAACAACATATACAAACCATGAGAACTTACTTGATAACTTGCAAAGGTCTACCTAAAACAAAACAAGAGAAACACAACTACACAAAACTGAGTGAACAAAAAAAACCTTGTAAACTTAAAAACAAACTAAAACAAGACCAAAAATATATATAATATATATATATATATTCCAATACGAAAGCAAAACAACAAGAAAACCATAAAATGTGACAAAAGCCAACTAAAACCAAGCTGCAGAAAAAAATAAGAAAACTAAAGAAACAGAAAACCCACAATTCCACAAAACAAGAAAGTAAACATAAGGACACAACAAAAAGAAAATGAAAGTAACAAAGAAAATACCAAGATGATTGTTCTAAGCAAGACTAAAAGCTGACAAAACGAAAGAAAATAAAAAATAAAAAATAAAAAAACAACTAACATAAACAAAAAGAGATGACCAAAGCAAACTAAAAGAGCATAACAGAGACAACAAAAGAAAATAAAAGGCAACAACAAACAAAAACAAAATAAAATCTTGCTAAAGGATCATGATAAGGACAAAAAAAACCAAATTACACAAACAACACAAAAGAAAACCAAACACACAAAACTGGAAAAACAAAAAAACAACAACAAAAAAAACAACCCAAAAAAAAACACCCAAACTCACAACTGAAAATCAACAGAAATCACACATAACAAACTAGAAGCCAAAGCAAACCTTGGAAACAAAAAGAAATCAAAACACTGACAAGAGAAACAAAACCTAAACTAAAACAACAACAAAATTGAAGCAAAAAGAAACAAAAACATTATAATAAAAAATATACAAAACAACATAGTAAAAGAAAAGAGAAATATATGAAATACATAAATCAAGACAAAACAAAAGCTGGAACAACAAAACATCAACAAGCAAGGACAAGAAAAATCAATATATTCATTAGAAATACCAAAAAAATATTGTTGTGAACATTACCAATGCATCAAAAGTAAAAGAATCAAAAGCTAATATGAAACAGAGACAAAATTAAGATCAACAACAACACCAAGGAACAAGAACATACAAAACTAGAAAAGAGATTGAGGAGTAGATAAGTGGAAAACTAACCCAACTACTAGAGAGATCCTGAAAAACATTTAAATCAAACATCAGAGACATCAAAGAGTAATTCAGTTGACATCCACATAGGCCCCTCTTCAATCTAAACATGAAAATCTGAATATAACAATGCATACCTAGCCAGGCGATGTACCACTTGATTACAACTACAAGAAGCATATTGACAAATCACAACAGGAAAAAGCTTTAGATAGGCTTGTGCTTCTGCTACTAATGCACCATCGGAATCCAAACATTCCTCTGAAGCATTCGAACATCTAATTATCTCTTGAGCATCCATTTCTAGAACAAGAGACTCATAACCCATCTTAGATGCCACCTGTAAACCCAATATGCTGCCATAAGCTTAGTAGCCTTAGGAGTAAAATTACCTCGAACTCGTTTGGAAGGCGCCACAATAAGTTCCCATTACAATTACGAACAACCACGCCTAGACCCCGAAAACCCTCCTGTAAATTAACTGTACCATCCACATTCAACTTCACAAATAGAGCACAATGCCTTACCCATCCACATTCAACTTCACAAACGGAGCACAATGCCTTACCCAACGACAATCCAAGACAGGGGTAGGCTGGGGAAGTAATTCCTTCTTATTTGCCTACCGAAATTTAGTAACTAGAGCACAATTATGAGTAACTAGAGTTTATGCAAGGACATATGTACCATGAAACCAACACTCATTTCGATTATGTCAAATACTCCAACACAAATATGAGATAATGATAATTTATTGTAGAGAGAGAATTGTTGTAGCATAACGAAACAATTCAGAAAAGCTAAGACCAGACCATTCGCCCACCAAAGAAGAGAAAGGAGAAAGTGCCAAACCTCTTTTGCCGACTGACAACACCATAACTCATGTATAATTGTCTCTGGCTTTTTGGTACAACAAAAACAAATTGGATTATGAACAATTTTACTATAAAAAAGATTAGCAATATAAGGTAAGAGACCATGCAAAGATAACCACAAGAAACTTTTAATCTTATTAGGAATTGGCAAAGACTAGACAATGGTCCAAAGTGCCCTGCCACCATGAGAAGTTCTTATACCCCCATCAGCACGCAATGTAGTTGTTGACTTTTGTATTATATTTCATGTAACTCTTTGTAATATTAGATTTCTTAGTATAGTCTTGTAATTACTCCTTGTGATAGTGGGATTAGGATTGTAACCCTACGAGTATATATATCATTCTTTGTGAGATGAATAACACACAACAATATTAAACCAAATAATATTCTTCTTCTTGGTATCAGAGTTAGATTATAAAAAAAAACCTAAAGCAAATTTTATGCCCCCCCACCACCACATGAACCCAACATGCCATTGCCGCACAAAATTACTGATGTTGAATTGGGCAACATTGACCTGAGGAAGCCACCATCACTGCTGAATCCCGTAGCACAACCGTATTGCTCAAGTGACTCTGCTCCTTGGCATCGAACCTAGCCACTCTGCATCACCTCCCGTTTTCATTCTTCTTGAAACCCCTAGTTTCTTGCGATGGTCAAGGATGACGAATCTGTTGCCACTCCTAATACTGCTTCCATCGTTGTTCAATTTGACAATACGACGTTCCATGCCAGAATTACCGTAACCTTGAAGCACTATGACATGTGGTCTCAACTCATGGAGATGCATATCGCAACAAAAGAAAAAATGGGGTATATTCGTAGCAAAGAAAAGGCACCTACTAGGATAGATCCTAAGTATGACAAGTTGTATGCTGAAAACTAGAAAGTCAAGAGTTAGTTGTTGACCTCCATGACACCTTTAATTAAGAAGCGTAACATCTGCCCGAAGACGACGAAAAGGATTTGAGATGCCCTTTCAACGGCACGAAAGGGATTTGAGATGCCCTTTCAACGACATTCTTCAATGGAACTGATGAAGTTCGAGTGTTCTCTTTGAACAAAAAAGCGTTTGCTACCAAACAGAATGGAAAATCCATGATGAATTATTTTTGGGAACTAATTGCGATTTTTTAGGAATTGGATCACCGGGATACGGTAGTTATGTCTTATGATTGTGATCTCAAGGCACATGCAAAGTTGATTGAATGACTGAGATTTCATATATTTTTAGCTAGATTGGATGCCGAGTTTGATCAAGTTTAAGGAGAAATTTTATGAAAAATGAAGTTGCTTAGTCTGAAGCCTAGCCATGGTGGTGTGTTGTCCCTCTCAAACCCGGACTAGCCATGATAACCGAACGAACCAAAACCGGGTTCCTCAGACCGATAATGGAGGGGTTGACCATTCCAGCCTCAACGTTGACTACTTTTATCAGCCACTAACTGATTGAAAATGCTTTCATTATGGTCAAACCGCACATTACTGTTATAAAATTATTGGATATCCTAAATGGTGGGACAAGACTCGTGATCCTAGGTACAATAAGTCTTGTGCATATATTTCTAAAACTAAGGATGATTCTGAACATGTAGCTGAACAAGCGTCTGCTTTGGTCATTGCTGTAGGTAACAATAGTAAGGCTTTAAAGGTTTCTACATATGCTTCGAATAATACATGGATAATTGATTCTAGCGCTACAGAGCATATGAATTTTAATTCTAGACAGGTACAAACCTTAAAGTAATCCCCACAGCCCGTGGTATCTGCTGTTGATGGTAATGCTGCCTCTGTTATTGGGGAAGACACCATATCCCTTACTGAAAACCTTTCTTTAGACATTGTAGTTGTTGTTCTTTCCTTAAGACTATAACCTTTTGTTTGTTGCTCAATTAACTATGGCCTTAAATTATATTGTGATTTTCGAGCCCCTTTTTTGTGTGTTCAAGGACATCCAAACTCGTAGGACGATTGATTATGGTGTTAGGCGGGGGAAGCTCTACTACTGGGACTTGACGTCAGAAAGCTCTAGCTGATTGATTCAAGTTTTGTCTGTGGAAGGTTATCAGGGGAGAAGAATAAAGAATCTGAAATATGGTTATGGCATCGTCTTCTTGCACTTCAATACATAGCTTTGTATAAGATATTTCCCTAGTTATTTTTGAAGTTTGATGTTTCTAGTTTTCATTGTGATTTGTGAATTGGCGATCGCACTTCATTTCCCCACGAATGAATAAAAGTTCCCTTCTGTTTTCATTGATTCACTCTAATGTTTGGGGCCCATATAAGATTATTACATTGGGGGGTGCCCATTGATTTGTTACTTTTATTGATGATTACACCCGAATGACTTGGGTATGCCCTAAGAAATCGATAAGTGAAGTGAATTTGTTGTTTCAGAAATTTCATAAAATGGTTGCTCTTCAGTTTGACTCAAATATAGGTGCTCCGCAGTGACAATGACAGTGGATATGTGAACTAAGAATTGCACAAATACTTGGATCACCATGGCATCATTCCTCATACTACGTGCCCATATACCCCGCAACAGAATGAAGTTGCCCAAATGAAAAATCGGCACCACCGTGAAGTTGTCCGCGCATCTCTGCTTGAAGATCATTTGCCATTATCATATTAGGGATAAGCTCTTTACTCTGCAACTTATTTGATCAACCGTGTTCCTTCCAGAGTAGTTAACTTCCAGACACCCTTCCGGATGTTGATTGATTTTTTTTATTCCAACATTGACGACTCTCAGCACCGACCCTCCTATTCCAAATATTCCACCTTTCCTGCTTGGGTGTGTTGTTTTTGTCCACATTCACAAGCATCAACGAAGTAAGCTTGATCCCCATGCATTGAAGTGTGTTTTTATAGGTTATGCATCATATCAGGAAGGGTATCGTTGCTATCATCCACCTACTCAAAAAATGTATGTCACCATGGATGTTGTGTTTCATGAGAATGATATGTTCTTCTCATTGTAGTCCTCACTTCATGGGAAACACCAGAAGAAGTGCATACTCTTGATTATAGCTTCTGAATATATAAGCAGTGAATGAATTGGATTTAAGTGGTAGTAAATTGGAAATAAATGGTGATTCTCATTCACATGAACTTGTAGATGTGAATGACTTGGATTTAAGTGGTGGTAATTTGGACATAGGTGGCGATCTGCATTAACAAGAAAATGAAGACGAGATGGACAGTCTTGCAACGTCACCAACTGTCGCAGAGCCGCCATCCTTCTTGTCACCGCCTTTGTCTGATTCTGATACCCATAACCATTCGCCATCAATCAGTGATGCCCGCAATAATGAACCACCCAGAAGTTGCCTCCCAAACCGTATTAATAGAGGTATCCGAAACCCACTTACGAGGCCGACCCAAAATGTAATGTCAAATATCCCATGAATAATTATGTGTCTACCGATCGGTTGTTTGAATCAAATAAGTCATTTGCATATCAGTTATCTACTATATCTATTCCTAACATTGTGCAGGAAGCTTTAGCTGACCCTCATTGGCAGACATCAATGAACGAAGAGATAAAGTCCCTAAAGAAGAATGCCAGCTGGCAAGAAACCTGTGGGAAGCGGATGAGTTTATACAATAAAAAACAAGGCCAATGGTACCATTAATCGGCTCAAGGCAAGGTTGGTAACAAAAGGGTATACTTAGAAATATGGAATTGATTACACGGAGAATTTTGTGCCAGTAGCTAAGATCAACATGGTTCGAGTATTGTTGTCCTTAGCTAAAAATTTGGAAGGGTCCCCCAACAATTTAATGTGAAGAATGTGTTTTTGCATGGAGACCTGACAGAAGAAGTTTACATGGATCTTCTACCTAGTATAACGTTCCAGAAGAATACAGTCAAAAAGTATGCAGATTGAAGAAGTCTCTATATGGGTTGAAGCAGTCCCCACGAGCATGGTTTGACAAGTTTGCGAAATCTATTTGGACGTTTGGTTACAAGCAGAGTAATCCGGATCACACTTTATTCCTTAAGTGGAAGCAGGATAAGCTTACAGCTCTAATTGTGTATGTTGATGATATTATTTTGACAGGAAATGATCTAGAAAAATGCAAAGCGTTACGCGACTATTTTTCCAAGGAATTTGAGATGAAAGGCCTTGGTTCTCTGAAATACATTATGGGAATCAAAGTGTCACGATCTGAATCAAGAATTTTCCTATCACAAAGAAAATACACAATAGATTTTTTGTTTGAAACTAGCATGTCGGCTTGTCAGTCGATTGCTACACCAATGGAAGAATGACTCAAACTTGAGATTGATCCGATCCAGGTATCGATTGATAAAGGTCGATATTAGAGGCTTGTTAGGAGATTGATTTATCTGGCTCACATGAGGCCTAATCTTGCATATGCCTTGAGTGTGGTTAGCCAATACATGCATAATCCTGGCGAACAACATATAGTGGCACTTATGAGGATATTGCGATATTTGAAAGGGAGTCTAGGAAAAGGAATTTTAGTTACAAAGAATGGCCATCTCAGAGTTGAAGGTTATACAGATGCAGATTAGGCAGGATCAATAGATGATAGACGCTCTACGTTGGGTTACTTTACTTTCGTGGGAGGTAACTTTGTTACATGGAGGAGTAAGAAGCAGAATGTGGTTGCTCGATCAAGTGGAAAAGTTGAATATAGAGTTATGACATTAGAAATTTGTGAGATCCTATGGCTTAAACTGTTATTACAATATTTGGGTTTTGCACCTAGTCAACCGATAAAGTTATTTTGTGATAATCAAGTTGCTCATGATATTGCTCGTAATACGATGCAGCATGATAGGATGTAACATGTTGAGATTGATAGGTTCTTTATTAAGGAGAAGTTGAAGGATAAAATTGTTCAAGTTCCCACAATCAGGATGGAAGACCAATAGGCTGATATACTTACAAAGGTTGTATCGGGTCATTTTTTTCAAAGTTCTTAAACAAGTTGGGCATGAGTGATGTCTATACACCAGCTTGAGGGGGAGTGTTGACTTTTGTATTATATTTTAGGTAACTCCTTGTAATATTAGATTTTCTAGTATAGTGCTGTAATTACTCCATGTGATAGTGGAATTAGGATTGTAAACCTACATATATATATATATATATATATATATACAGTCCCCTTCTATTGAGGGATTCCTCAAATAATTTTATTTGAGGGACGCCTTTTAGGGTACCCTACAATTTTTTTTTCCAATGATCCAAATCATCTATTTTTTAGGTCTTCATTCATAGATCATCCTTACAAAAAATTAGACAAATCGGAAACCGTTTTGACACCCAATTGTGTCATACAAAATCAATGAACACGGTTCTTCAAGAAAGTACTAAAATTTCAATAACTCAATTGAATGGTCAAATGATATCGGATTCAAGTGATTTTTTGTAGAGATGATCTTTGAATGTGTATCTACAAAATAGACGGTTTGGATTTGTGAAATATAGTTCGGAGTGGGCCCTACAAGGGGTGTCCCTAAAATAAGCTTATTTGAGGGATCCCTCAATGGAAGCTCTCTGTGTATATATATATATATATAACCCTCTTTGTGAGATGAATAACACACAACAATATTAAACAAAATAGTATTCTTCTTCTCTAGCATCTTGTGCAACTCGGTAGCCACTTTTGACACTATAGATACCATTTTTCTGAAAATGCCAAATAAATTTGTCTAGGATGGCAAATAGTGGACGTAATAGTAGCAGCTTCAAAAACCCAAAAAACCTGCTGAATTAAATCAAACCCAACAACCGTCAACATGTA